ACCTAATACAACAATTTAGAACATGCCTTAACCGGACCCAAGCCACTAGCCTTTATGTGATGTATATTTACACTTTTGCATCCTTATATTTTTGTTTTGTTTTCTCAATGACAACCTTTACAGAAAACAGCGCATCAGGATTTATACTACTCCTACCATGCTCATCCTTATCTCATATGAAAGATAAGAAGATTTCCTACAACTCTCAAGAAGACACCAAGTCATGATTCCTTCATCTACCTTGATAAAAATGATAAAAACCGCAACAGCTATAAGCAATGCTGGCAGCTTGACCCCTCTTCACTAAAACATCCATATCTGGAGTTCTAAAATTCCTTTTTGGGTGATTCCAGCGCCATTGGAAAGATAACATCCAAGGCTACAACTTAATTAAAATTTAGATTTTAAAAAAATATAGGAGAAAAATTAAATTATTTTTTGTTGAAGAGACAATTCATGCATAACCATATATATTAATGTACACTCATTTACAAGTCATAAACTTATAAATCTATAATAAAAAAAATATAAAAATATTTTAAATATTGATAATTTTTTTGTAAATTTATTTGTTTATTTATATTTTAATAATATATATTAAATGATCAACATTGAAACCCATATGCAACTAGTCATGAAATAAAGTTCTAACGTCAATTAAAAATGTCTAAAGTACGTGCACAACAAATATCAAGCAAACCACAACCCAGAATTGACCACAAACACAACAAGTATAAACAAGATCAATAACCGTGCTATAAGAAGAATAGTCACAAAAAAGTAAACCAACCAGAGTAATCATAGAGAAAAAAGAAATAAACCTAACTACATAGTTCTGAAACATGAAAAACTAAATTAAAGCTAAATAACTAAAAGTAAAAGACATGAAAATAAACTGCAATAAACATAAAGGTAAACTAAGGTAGACTCCATCTGCATCCGTCTATGGAGCCTGGTCATCATCATCTCCGGGGGCTGCTCCACCCTCATCAGCACCATCAGTAGCTCCTACAGCTCCACCCCCAAAGAAAGGAGCCTGGGGAATAGGCATGATAATCTGTAGTAGAAGGAAACTGGTAGCCAGAAGTGGTCGCAAAGTGTAGAGTGAAACTCTAGAAAGCATCCAGGAGGAAGAGCTGGCCACGGTGGAGAGACTCCTGTTGCTGCAAGAAAGTGTCCATACGGCCCTCAAGAGCATCAAAACACTGATGGAAAGTGAGTGGAGGGTCCGGTGCAGGAGCATCATCCATGGGCATGTTCACTTGGGGCCTGGCAGTATGAATGGGCTCTAGTGCAGCAGCAGGTGGCAGGCGATCCAGATAATAGGTAGAAATGTAACGGCTATTAATCACCCGGCCAGGTCCCTCAAAGGGTGGTGTATGAACATCCACGCCAGCGAGCTGACACAACTGAGTAATCAAGGAAGGATGTCCAAGGGCCACCGAAGGTGGTGCATTGGCGCAACCAAAAATCTCCATGCAAATAATAGAGCCAATGTCCACTGTCCTCCCTGTCAAGATGCAATACATCATCATGGCTCGGCTCCAGTGTAAGTCAAAAACATGCAAGAAAGGGAGGATGTTGGCATGCATCAGAGCCGACCAAATCCTAGCCATTGAGAGCAGATCACGGCGCTTTGCATGGAGGGGCTGTTGAGCGTGGTTCCGGTGAAAGTTGGCTCTAGGCATGCAAATGACAGCCTCAACATACTCAGGATCTATGGTCCCACCCTCGAAGTCACTATACACACACTGCCCATTAGGCTCTAGTGTTGTCCCCAAGAACTCATTAATCGTGTAGGCATCAAAGGGGACTCGCACACCCTGCACATAGCTGGTATAGGGAACAATGCCCTCCTCTAATCGTAAGGCATTGACATAAAACTCCTTGACCATAGCAATGTTGGCCGACATGGGGTATAGAAAAGCTTATCCCATCGGCGCCTGCTGAGCTCATGTTGGAACTCAGGGGCGTCATCATCATCTAGCTCTACTCGCCTTTCCAGAATGAATTTCCTACCACTCACAGTAGCAAAATGCGTCTTATTGCGCTTGGTGTGGAATTGGCGGGAATATGGTCGGCTGGGTTTATGGGGAGGCGGAACAGGCTGGTCGGAGCGGGGATGCTTGCTTGAAGATGCCATCTGTAACATAACACAAGAGATCCATGAGAGAAATGGTGAACACAAGATTATATGCAGTGATGACTTAGATAAGATATTGCACAATAAAGAACATCCTTAGACCAAAATTAACGACACAATTATGCACAAGAATTTGACAGTGAAAATGTAACAGAAAAGGAACAACAAAAAGAGATAATACTTAAAATAGAGAAAATCATGGGGTGCCAGAGGTGTTATGCGTCAGGTGCAACACACATGCGCCGGGCGCAACACACATGCGCCGGGCGCAGCGAGGTTACTAAGCTCTCTAGGTTGGATTGCGCTGGGCGCAAAAAAATATAGAGCTCTCTGGGGCTCTCTATGTTGGGTGCGAGAGACATGCGCTGGGCAGGAGCATCAATGGGCACTGTTGAAACTTGCGCCGGGCGTGCAAGTAACACACGGGGCGTGCCCATGAAGGATATTCAACTCTACAAGAGCGTTGGGCGCATTTCTTCACGCCCGACTTAGATGCATTAAAACAAAAAAATAACCATGAAAAGGGAAACCTACTTGAGTGTGGAGTGCAGGGAAGAAGAGAAAGGAAAATGCGTGCCCTTGGAGAAGAAGTCCGCAATAAGGGAAATCAGAGAGGCCAAGAAAGAAAAAGAAAGTGAGGGGTGAAGATGTGGAGAAATGGGAATAAAAGGAAGGTGAGAGGAGGGTGGAGAGGTTAATGGCGGTTGAGGGAGGTTATGAGGGAGGTTTATGGTAGTTGTGGGAGATGAGGGGTTTTTGAATATGGGTGCGCCGGGCTTCAGATTAGTAGAAGCCCAAGGGTTTAACCCTATCTGATAGCGCATTAGGCGCATCTACGGCGCGCCCGGATGGATTAGGTCAGAGGCAAACTGAGTTTTAATGCGCCTAGCGCGACCATGAATGTGCCCGGCGTGGGCTTGGCAAAGAGTAGTTCGCTCTCTTTACGCCGGGCTTGGTTAGAGTGCGCCCGGCGAAAGGCTTTCCAGGATCAGTTTGCCTAAATTTCCTTTTAATTGTAGGTCTCATTCCCTCCCAAAAATAGGGTTGCCTCATTCCTCACACTCCAAACAGGTTCTAACATATATTTACTCACTCAAGCATGATTCAAACACTTAACATACAACACACAACAATTATCACTCAAATTACACAGACAATTATAACAAACACTAATATTGAAGTCCAACAACGCAAAGCAAATGAAAAGCACACAAAATAAAGTTCAGATCTCTGGGTTGCCTCCTAGGAAGTGCTTGTTTACTGTCCCGAGCCTGACTAAAAGAGACCTCAAGGCTCTCTGAATGAAAGGGTACAGTAGAGTCTTTCGACCTCTCCACCCTAATTCTCCTTCTCCTCCTATTGCTATCATTTCTCCTTGTTGTACGTTCAATCTTAGGATCACTCGTAGCAGCTAAGGAGATTTGGTCCCTCTAGCTCAATTAGTGCTTTTCATACAGAGAAACAGAAGACTAGATTCCACAAGTCATCTCGAAGAATGAATTACTAAATTAAAAGTCATAAATAGCTATAAATACTAAATTGCCTTACTAATCCCCGGCAACGGCACCAAAAATTTGTTGAGATTTTTGTTGAAATTAACTTTTGTTCTTATCATAAATCGTTTTAACTCTGATAACGGACTCAAACACGGCAAGTATACGGCCGTTCAAGTAGTAAATTTAAATCGTATCCACAGGGACTAGTAGGTAAAATAATTAAGCATTTAATGACTATTTGTGACTAAAGAATAATTACAATTTTTCAAAGGTTATCATGCAATTCAAATAAAGGTTATGACTATTAGAATTTCAAACCTATGATATAATTAGTGTGTGTGTGGAAGGGATAAGAAATGGTATTGTGATTTTGTAAGATTGTGGGTTCAGATGTCACCGAACTTTACTTTGATGAATCTTTGTTCTCTTGTTACATTCATTGCTTAGTCAACCCATAAAGTTACTCAAACCTAATCCCTTAGAGCAAGAGCCTAGGTGCAGATAGTGAATATCAATTCCTTGAGTATATCCAATACCTACACCCGCATTACGGGTTAGGATTTAAGACTACTAATGGGCCAAACTCCATTCCTAGATACATTTTCCACTAGGTATTTGTTTCAGAGCTAGTTCAAAAGGTTATTTTTCAATACCTAAAGTTCTAACGTCAATTAAAAATGTCTAAAGTACGTGCACAACAAATATCAAGCAAACCACAACCCAGAATTGACCACAAACACAACAAGTATAAACAAGATCAATAACCGTGCTAATAATAATAATAATTTACAAGTTTATGTTAGTGATAGTCAACAATAATAATAACAATATTATAATATTAGTTAGTGATAACAATATAGCAATACAACATATTGATTTTAAATTTTGTTTTATATTAAAATTGATTGTTTGAGATGTATAACAAATTAACAAATTAATTTTAAAATTTAGTTGTATCATTATATTTGTAACAAGATATCAAATTATTTAAATCTATTATATAATATATAAACTTTTATAAAAAAATTAAATTTAATTATATTAATCTGACTCAATCTAATTTGATTGAATTAAATAAAAAATTAAAAAAAAATTGAAAATTTTCTTGATAATTTTTTTTTATTTAAAAAAAGCTTTCATGTTATATAAAAATATATATTTAATATATAAGAGTTAATTAATAATTATTAAATTATATTTTATCTTTTAAATTACACTCTCTCGAAAAAGAAAGAGATAAAATGTGCTTTCTAAAATTCCCAATTTTAATTTTGAAAGGGATCTTTGACTGTGGTAACATGAGCCGCATTACGCGAGTCACCACCGGAAACAAAGTTCAATGAAATTCGGCGCTTGGGTAACACCCACCACCTTCTCAAACTCTGTTACGCGTTATTCTAAGATAAAGTACACTCACCTAGACGATTAGAATTTCGATGAAATTTATCAAATGTAGTGAAACAAACCTTATCCTTTTCAAATTCTTGATATAATTCTCTATCTCAATTAATTAATTATTGGGTATATCAAATTACATCTCCTAGGAATCAAATCTTCAAGAATTATGACTTGATCTTTAATTGGCCAAACCATGCTGCACTGATTCTTTTAATAGCAACCATGCTTCTTTCACATCTCACTCCTCCTACATCCTCGCTTCATTCTCTCATAAGCCGTCACCGTTTCTTTCTCCAAATCTCTTCCATGCTTTCGGCTTCGAACCAAAAGGGCAAATTCGTCAATTCAACTACCGAGTTTTCCTCGTCGCAACCATCATCTTCTGTTCGCAAAGACACTGTATGACTCCACTCTTTTCTCTAAATAATAATTATTATTTGTGTTATTGTATCAGAAAACACCTTTTTTTCTTGTCCACGCAAATTTATTTTCTAAGGCTATGTTTTATTATCACCTTGTCTTTTTTTTTTTTTCCTTTTTTTTTCTGGGTTCATAACTATTTTAAAATTGAAGTTTATTTTGGTTTAAAGAGACCACCGTATCACTGGAAAGTTGCATATCCGTCAGAGCTATTGTTGATTAGGAAGAATAATAGGTGCCCTTGAACTAATAACCTTCGGTTTAGAATAAGTAATTTAAATTTTTTTAATTAAAAGTTGTTTGTTAATTTTTGTTTAGAAAGAGACAATGATATTGAGCCGAAGAGAGAGAAGGAAAACAGAGAGGAGAATCCTCGGTTAAAAGAAGAAAGATAGCAGAGAGACTGAAACATTAAGGAGAGAAACTGTAGAGGGTGAAAGAAAAAGAAAATCAACATTTAGCTAAATCCCTATACCTAATCAATAAAGTGTAACATGTTTGATAATGACAAATAACTTTTTTTATTTTTTAAAACAAATAATCTATCTTGATTTCGTGATTTATGTAGATAAAAAAAATATTGTTTTCCACATAATATTATTTCTTTGAATGAGTGTATAAAGCATTAAATAAATTGTGCCAAATATTAAATAAATTTACAACTTTTTTTATCACATATAGTTGAGTTTTTTGTTACTGTACAGTGACGTAATTTATTTTCTGGCTCAATTGCATCCAAATTTTTGGTGTGATTGTTGATCATTGTTGTTGTTTTAATAATAATAATAGGATGATTGTGTTTGTCAAAGTTGTGTTAAATCAAGTGAGCATCGAGGAACCTTTATGTGATGCACTTGTAGATTTAGTAACTTAATTGATTTCATTTAGCAACGTTTCACTCAGATTGTTTCTTTTCATATATCAGCTATTGAGCTTTTAGTTGGATGCCTGAAGTTTTGAATTGTGGTTGTGGTATTTCTGGAAAATACTATGATAAATTCAACTGCAGTTGGAATATTATTATGATGAGTCCAAAAGTAATAGATGTATGCGTCAGATCTTAGCTGGTGTCTCATATTTGTTATTGTGTGCATTTGGTATTAATTTTTGCTTTTAAGCAATAATGTGACTATGTGAGTCTATTTTGCCGTAATTTGGCTGTTGCGCGCGTAGGATTCAATAAATTATGTATCAGGATTTCTATACTGCATTCAAGATTACACTTTCCAATAATCTTCGTGTTTATTTTAATTTTCATGATTCAATTGCAGGTTATGGCTGGTTGTTCTAACAATGAAGATGCATCTCAGAACAATGAACCATCAATAATGATAGGAAGTATTACTGTATCGCTGGATCCAAAAAAAAGGAAGAATAATGTTTCGCCTCCTTCAGCACCTAGTCGCACATCGTTTGCTGGCAAAACATCTGAGTTAATGTCTAGTTCTGACCATTCAACTTCCTCATCGATAGCTACTACTAGTGTTAAACCAAGAAAATCAAAGAGAAAAACTCGAATTAACTTAGGATTGTCCCATGCAAGTGAAGAGAATTGTAGTGTACCACATACTAAGGAATTCTCAACATCTAACTTGACAAGTTACCATGATGAATCCCCTCAAGATAGCCATTCTTGGAAGAAGAAAGATGCTTCTTTTAAAAGACCGTATTATAATAGCCCTACCAATTCCAACTATTCAGTAGTTGGACACAATTTAGATTCTCCAGTTGGTACACCAAAGTTTAAACCATTTGACATTTGCTTTCAAAGAAAGAGAAATTCTCCTTCAATAGGAGCTACATCGCATAGAGAAAGCAATGAAATGGGCATTGAGATGCAGGAAGAAGAGATACAAGAGGAGATATTGTTGGGTCCTGGGATGGTTCTCTTGAAAAATTTTATTACTCATGATGAACAGGTACTTGATTTTTCATCTGCTCCACTTTGCATGATACTATTTTTTAAATGCCAATTTATAGTGCAGTTTATGATGACTATATATTCTAATAACCATTGTTGTCAAATACTGTCAACCTCGTTCACTGTTTTTGGAACCAACATAAATTTTGCATTTTACTAGCACTTATATGAATTACACAATCAAAATTAGAAGTTTGACAACCGTGCCAGAAACTTCTAAGACATTAAGAGGAGACATTTTAAAATTGGTTTTCATCGTGTATAAGATATTACATAGGTTGCAACCAATTCTCTCTACTGTCTAATGTTGGATTAAGTATAATAATGCTTTTCAGTCATAAAATTTGCCCCAAAGCATACTGAAGGTTGCACCATAACTTATATGCATTTGATTGAAATTTTTCTTATTCATTCTTATTTTATTTCTTTTACTTTCTTGTGATAATTTTAGGTGGAAATAGTAAAAGTGTGCCGTGAACTTGGTGTTGGTCCGGGAGGGTTCTATCAACCAGGTTATGCAAGTGGAGCAAAACTTCGATTGAAGATGATGTGTCTTGGGAAGGACTGGGATCCTCAGACCTATAAATATGGAAAGAAACGGGTAATTGATGGCAGTGAGCCACCCAGTATTCCCAATTACTTCAGTGAGCTGGTTTCAAGATCAATAAAAGAAGCACATTCTCTAATTAAGAAGGAATGCAGAGTGTGGAATGTGGAGGACGAACTTCCTTCAATGACTCCTGATATATGCATAGTCAATTTTTATACCAACAATGGAAAGCTTGGTCTTCATCAGGTTAACATCTATTCTATACATTGAGAGATCTCCTGAAAAACTCGGATCATGAGTGGCTCATGATTTTGATTAAAATAAGAACAGAACTTAGATACAATACTAATTTTATTGTGTGTTCTCCAATATTACCTCTATAGTATGCATTTAAAGCTAATGAAATTCTTTATTACTTATATTATTGAGGTGAAATATATTTTTATTTAGAAAATAACACTTGTAGTACTGTATGTAAGTTTTGACTTAGATTTAGTTTCTAATTAAATATATTGCTCTAACATTTAGAGACTAATATGATACAGGATCGAGATGAAAGCAGAGAAAGTCTCCGGAAAGGGTTGCCTGTGGTGTCTTTCTCTATTGGAGATTCAGCTGAATTTCTGTATGGTGATCAGAGGGATGTTGAGATGGCAGAGAGCGTACTTCTAGAATCAGGAGATGTGTTAATATTTGGTGGTGAATCTCGACATGTCTTTCATGGTGTGTCATCAGTTTTGCCAAATTCAGCCCCAGAGAAATTGCTGAGAGATTCTTGCCTTATTCCTGGTCGTCTCAATCTTACATTTAGACAGTATTAATTGGTGTACCCTCATCTGTTCTCTGAAGCAATGCTATTGATGTTATTATAGACAATTTTTTTATACTTTTAATATATCAATGTTGCAGATAATTGTGTATAGTTACATTGCTAATTTGCTGGCATAAATGTTACTTGTGCTCATAATTATCCCTTATAATTACATATAAATTACTTGATGGATTCAATTCATAATATGAAGTTCTGATAAAGAACAAATGATTATTCTTGACGAGTTAATTTCAATGTCTCACTTAACCAACATTACCTTGGCCTCTGTTGGCTTTCTTCCCTTTTCGGGATCTTTGATCTAAGATTGTGTTAGTATAAACTGCTTGTTTAACATGGAATCTTGTTTGAATTCTGTCTTAATATTGTATCAGGAAATTCTTTAGTTTTTATTTTGTAGGCAATTAGGCAGCATGAAGGAAACAAAACAGAAATTTAAGCCAGTTAAACTGTAGTCTGTCAAATATAAATGGCTTGGTTTTTTACTTTAAAAGGGTAATGTATTTTCAAATTTTCTCAAAATGGACAAATTTATAAAAAAGATTAGAATGGATAAGCATTCATTGTGAAACACGACTTTCATTTCATAAATATGAGTCTTGTTTTGCACACGTCCTGATTTCTGTTTAGTTTTTTTAACATGACTTCAGTTATTTCTAAAAAAACTTTTAAGTTATTTTCACAAATATGCCTTTAACATATCTCTTATTCTTTATTTATTTTTGTTCAAAACGACCACATTTTAACTCAGTTTCATGCTCTTATGAAATTATGATGCTACGCTACATCAGTTCAGATCTCAATTAAATCAAGACGACAATGTCCGGCTGATAGTCACATAATTAGTTGTTTATGCAAGAGAACTGCGAATTGGTTCGCGCGTAAATCCTTCTCGTAACTGTTCAGCTTTTGAATTCATGTCGCAACCGTTCAACTTCTGAGTCCAGTCTATTGCCGAGTGCTTTTACATTCTCCATGTTAGTTAGCGATGGTTTTCTTTTTTCCACATCCTTTAATGCAGTTTTATTTCCCATGTTATTTAAGGCTTTTACATTTTTACATTTTTTTTTGAATTACAATTGCTATTGAGTTACTCTTAACATTAATTCATTATATATTAAAATTTATTATAAAATCAAATAAGGTACCAAAATGTACCATTTATATAGATCTTCGCGTACTAAAACTTTGTGAGGGCACATACTACGTATCCGTATCACGTACACGTACCATAATATATTACGAATTATGTGACTATGTTCCAGTTACTACATAACTAGCCATCCAACAATGTAACAGTTTCATACAACTGTTGTTGTCCAATTTCGTCCAACATGGTATACTTCATCTATGCCATCATGAGGGGAAAGACAATCGACATCGGGACATACATATCTCAGCAAATTTATGAGTTTGCACAGGCCAAGAAAGGTCGTTTGGGTTTTCTAATGCTGATCCATGGGTTTGGTTATGCAGATCCAAGGGGATCTTGGTAGATGCTCCTCATTATGCCCCTCATGACTCTATCCGACCAGACATCAATGTTGCATATATTTACTAATACTACAGGTCAGAAGGAATTCCTCCACCACCTAGGGCACCTCGTGCACATTATGGAGAAGCAGATGGAGACTCAGATGAGGGCTGCTATGGCGACTAATCACCAAGTTATAGGACTAGTCATGGATGACTTGAGGCACTTTTCATTGCACATGACTACCAACATCCAAGGTACCTACCATTGCATCTTTCCTGCTAACTATGCACCTCAGATAGCATGGCCTGTTGGCTTTAGGGACCAGCAAGTTGCTGGCCAAGGAGGAGTTGGAGTTGTTGAGGAGTTAATTATCAGAAGAATCAACAGAGAAGGAGTCATCTGAGGAGGAAGATGCATAGGCCTATATGAGAGGTCAACTTTTTCTTTCTTTTTCTTTTTCTAGTGTTTTTATTATGGCATCTTTTTTATCTTTGAACTATTTTATAATTCTTGGTTGGGTTGTAATTGTGACTCTAATTAGACTATATGAGAATATTAATTGAACACAACTTTTATTATTAATCAATAATTAACTATTTTATTCTGTAAAACAAAATCTTTTGTGATACCGACTAATATGAAATCACTTAAATATTTATGTTTGTTTTTTTAAATTGGAAAATATGATATGAATAATTATATTTTTCAAAAAGTCTAGCTAATGAGTGAGAGATTCACAAATAGTAAGAATGAGTGTCCGCATTTTCTCTGTTCATTTGGTTTTGCTTAAATATTGTTAATGCTTAAATATTGTTAATGTGTGAAGGTATCTGTGTGTTGAGAAGTGATCAAAGCAATTTTAAATATTTTTTAGGTTATCAGTGAAAAAACCAACTTAAGAATTTTTGTTTTTAACACTTGTTATTCCTTTCACTACAAGAAATATTACACATAATAACATACAAATTAAAAATGTTACTATAGGTATAATATATGTAGGTACATATTTATTTGACATATAGCTATGCACAATTTTAGTGTTGATTTTAAATGAGATTTAACAACATATTTTGTGTGTCACTATAACTTATACCCACACTTTTTAACAATATATCAACATATATTTGTATTTATTGTGAGTAAAAGTAGTTTTTAATAACATATATTGTATCACTATAGGATGTGTGTTACTATATGACATTTTTCTTGTAGTGTTTGAGTAAACATTGAATTTCTTTTTATTAGAACCCGAGCTTATTAGGAAAAAAAAATTGTTACCTTACACCTTTAGGAATAAGGAGAATAATTTAGTAAAAATTAAGTGAAAAAGGTTATAAGTTTGGTGAGGGTATAGGGCATACATTATACGCACCACATAAGTAAGGATTCTAAGTTTGGTGTGGATATGCTACATTCACAAAAATATCAGAAAGGTTGATGATGACCCAAACACTAATACAAACTATTAAGTACCCTTCTTCTAGGAATATATAAAATAAATAAATAAAATATTTGAGATAAAATATTTTATAGTATAAAAAGGTACAAAAATTAGAAATTGAAAAGGTGCTTTTGGGAAATCTAGAAGGAATTGAAAAGAAATAAAAATAATACAACTAAGTGTTCTCTTAAATCTTAGGTGTTTTATATCTAGAAAAATAATGAATTCCATAGTAGTCTGGCCACATTACAAGTCAAAGAAAGTCCTTAGTGATCTTTGCACACTTTTGTTTTTCATACAACATACAAGTGTTCTAAAAGGGAAAGATGAAGAGCAAAACTAAGTTGGATAGTGTTGAATGTGTGAATTGAGTAAAACATTAACCACATAATTACGCTTGAAATTGCAATGACAGAGAGAACAAGTGTATTGGATTACATAATTGTGAATGTCATGAGGACTAGTCTCTTTTTTGAAATTTCTTCATGCATTTCTTATATGAATCTGATGTTGTTACTACAATAGACAATGTGATTTCTTGAAAAGTCAAGAAAAGAAATTTTAAACAATATAAATTTGTTCATACTAAGTGTTCTTGATGCATCTTAAGTAAGATTATGTTTAAATTACAAATTGTTTGAGGATAAACAATATTTTAAGTTTGGTGTATTTTGATAATTGACAAATATGCACATAATTTTTATTCAATTTTTGATAATTATTAATATATTTTAGACTTCTAAATCTTACTTTTGGTCACAAAACACTTAGTCATGAATTAAATTTATTTAGGATTTAATTTTTTGAATATTAGGTATTTTTAATGTTCTTCTTTGTTAAGATATAATAGGAAAAAAATACTTTTGAAGCTACAAGTTTCAAAAGAGGAACCATGATTCCAAACTACATAGAAGATCGCTCTAAGCTAGTGAAATTCACTCATAGTGACCAAATTGCAGCTTAAAGTGAGCCAAGTTAGAGGAATATGATTTTTCTTAAATAACAGAATTTTTTGCATAAGAAATTAGGGTTTAAATATAATTATGAATTGTTGAATTAACTAAATAATTCCAACATTAAATGAAAAATTAAGATGATTTATACGGAAAGTTAGTGAATTAATCTTGGATTGTTCTCATTGTAAACACAAACTCTTCATAATTTATTGTTTTATTTTACTTTTACTAAATTTAACATTTCTTGTCAAACAATTCTAAATTTTCATTAAATCATGTGTTTAGTATAAAAAATTACATTAAACAATGATAACTCAAGTCCCTATGGATTTGATAACTTGGACTACTATTACAACAATCAGTAAACTTGTCAAATGCATAACAACAATTGAAGAAATCAAAGACCTTGAAGGTTTGAAAGTTCAAAAACCTGCAGAATTTACTTGAGGCACATGAGTAGAGACTCATTGAAAGGGCCAACACAAAAGAGATGGATCAAGCTTTGCAAGCTCAAATCACCAAGAAACATGATGGTGAAAGGAAAGATTGGAAGAAAGGTAAAGGAAAAGGTAAAAAAATTGGTACTCAAATAAAGATAATAACAAAGTTGAAGAAAAATTTGAATCTTATAGTAAAAAAAAGAAGGAGGAAATAATAACTATCAAGGAAGGAAGAAAAGTTTTGAGAAGAAGAAAATTTAGCTTTATAATTATGAAAAATGGGGTCATCTTGCTTCAAAATATTGGCATGGAAAAGGGAAGCATACCAAGAATAATGAGAAGAAGGCAACTGTAGGTTAAGATGATGATTTTGAGGAAGATCCAATATTATTGATGAATAATAATGCATTAGCGATAGTAATGTGCAAAAGATTTAGTGAGGGAATGTCGTCTATCACCAATTAACAACTTGAATTTAGCAACATAATGTTCCCTTACTAATCCCTCACTATTTCCTTTAGCAAGGGATTTGCTAGGGATCTCTCCCTCTCTAATTCACGATTTTCTAGTAGTGACAAAAATTAAAGATGTGTTGTATGTTCTTGGAATAAAGTGTAATTTGATAAGTATAGGTAAACTTGTGGAGAAATCATTCTTAATCACTTTGAAGAATGATTTTATGGAGTTATTTGATTCAAATTAGAGACTGATTCTTAGGTCTCCACTTGCAAGAAATAGGACATTTCAAGCCTACCTAAAAGTAGTTGAGATGTAGTGTTTGAAAGCTACTAATCTAAATTGAGAATCATGATTATGACATTTGAGATATGATCACTTAAATTTCAAAAGCTTAACTCAATTATCAACTTGTGATATGGTAAC